AAATTATTTCACTTGTCCTTAACTTATTATTGATACTTAATATCAAATACATTGTGCCCTACTGATACATTTACTCGTATAAGTATAGTATATCAGAGTAAATGCGTATTTTATTTTTTATTATGTCAGAATAGATTTTGTTTTGCTTCCGATTAGTAAAATTAATAACTTTTTAAATAATCTTTTATTTTCGATTTTCGATAAGCTCGCACCCCCCTTGTAGGGTAATCATACCCCTCTAGGGGGGGGCGCCCCAGAGTTTGAGAAACACTGTAGTAATCTGTTAGAAACTAATACTTAATACTTTAAATAATTTAATGTGGCTTTGTATAGCATTTACAAGTAGAAACACACTGTCACCTTTTATGTTGTGTCACAAATTTATATACTTAAATTCATAATTTTGGAAGTATAATAAAACTATATTCTCACAAGTATATTTTGAAAAAAAGATCTTAAAACCGCTCTTTTAATCATTACAGTAACAGCATACGCTCTCAAAATTGTTAATCCCATTTTATGAACTCTTAAAAGAAGTAACTAAATTCACATATTAAGCTATATTTTAAAACACCCGATCTTCCAAACTCACAAAATAAACAAAACTAAAATTAAAATTTTTCAGAACTCTTAGAAGAAACAATGTAATGCAGCTTTTACACAGAAATAAACTATACTGTAAGTAATCTATGCATATAATTTTAGTTTCTGCTTTACTGAGGCGTTAATGCCTTAGTTCGTAATTCAAATATAGTTGCTGACAAATTTCAATTTATTCAATATTTTCTTTTCAAATTCAATAATATTTCGATTATTCGATGTAGATCTTTCCCTTTCAATTCGGTTTACTCAGACTCTACAGTATTATAAAATATTTTATTTTATCTAGGATTTGAAATTGCATTCATTTAAATAAAAATGTATTGATTCATTAAAGTATCCCTCAATATGCAGATAAAAACTTCTCGACAGCTTTTTATTTTTTCTCTGAAACAGGCGTTCTTGGAAAGGAGTGGACCGATTGGCTTGTAAAGGCTGTCACCAAGCGCGAAATTGACATTGCCGTTAATATATTCCTAAATCCTTTTACAAGAAGATCGCGAAAGAAGGTTTGGTGAAGTCTTGGAGAGAGAGAGAGAGAGAACCAAGAATATCTCACTTCAAATCAAGGGAGTTTAACAAAGAAATTTATTCCAACCATTAATAAGAGGCTATCATGCCATCATTTTTATACAAATTACAAAGTAACCTAATTTCTCACTGGTCATGGTAACTTTAAAAGCTATTTGAACAAATTTAATTTGGTTCCGTCTTCTTTCTGCGATAGTAATATTGGTGGTGAGAAAAATGTTGAACATGTTCTCCTTCCGTGTTGTAAGTTTGTCAGAGAAAGAAGGATCCTCAAGAACATATTAATGTAAATTGACCACCGAATTTTCACCAACTTATTTCCACCAGAAGTGCTTTTGAAAAGTTCTGTAAATTTATTGAAAACATTTGTAACCCTTCATGACTTTACTTTTTAAAGTCATAACTTCTTAAGGTGCGTTTTGCTGGAGAGTGAATTTGAATGATGCGTTTTAAAACGCCAAGCATTGTTACGCTCGGGTTTGTAACGCTCATAACAATGGTAACAATACTATTCGTAAAAATACTACTGAATCATTTGGATTTAATGAGAAATATATTGGAGAAATTTGATCAGCGAAATGTAGAACAGAAAATGGACAATTAATTCTAATGTGGTTACTATTTATATTTCACGAAATCAAAGTGTAGAGAAAACTATCGAATTCATTCACAAAAATTTATTTGCCTACACCGATGTTTCTCAAACTTTCCATATTCGCGGCCCAATTTTCAATCATAATTTTCATCGCCCTCCATATACAATAACCATGTATTGATGCAGTAATAATGTATAATACTTTGACGCTAAAGCTAGAATACGACCGTAATTATAAACGGTACTAATTATCAAGTATTAAATTTTGCATGCATTTTTTTAGTATATGATAAGCCCATGGAAAAAATCACTAGAAGTTATTAAACTTGTTCTTAACTTATTATTGATACTTAGTATCAAATACATTGTACCGTACTGATACATTGACTCGTATAAGTATAGTATATCAGAGTAAAATGTGTGTTTTATTTTTTATAATGTCAGAATATAGTTTGGTTTGCTTCCGATTAGTAAATTGATAACTCTTTAAATAATCTTTTATTTTCGACTTTTCTATATGCTCGCGCCCCCCTTGTAGGTTATCACGCCCCCTAGGGGCGCAACTCACAGTTTGAGAAACACTGGCCTACACTGGAGCCGGATCAACTCTTCTGAACAAATTGCCTATAGGCAATAATGTATTATTTTAAGTGGGGATTTTTTTTAATGTAGATTTTTTTCAAGAGATAAATCCAAGCCTTTAGTCGATTTTTCAAAATCAAGATTCAATTAAATTATGTCAAATGATCCAAATGAAAGCACGACAGAATACGGAACAATACTTGGCGGAGTTTTTGTTAGATATTTATATAATTTCGAATGTAAAGTATTTATAACCTATTTTATCTACCATTAAACCTATTGTTTCTTTCTTAACAATTAATTCACAAATATTATTGTATATCTCGCAAAAAGGATTACTTTATGAGTACAGACATGAATAAATAATTTTATATGACCATAATAATATTCCCTCGTTTTTTATTTACCTAACTAATCCCTGAAATAACATTACAAAATTTGAAGTTATAACTTCTATGGTGTGGTCATAAGCCCACTCACTCCTTTTTTTCTTCTTTCCTGTGTGTTTCATGCTTACTTTTGTAAGCCCAGTGTGATACTTCGTAGAACCCGGGAATTTATAAATATTTTCCGTAAAAAAAATGTGCAGAAAAAATTGGAAGAAAATTTAGAGTACGTTATCGAGTATTTTGGAATGCCTTTTTTTTTCTTGTTTATTATATAAATATTATTTCAAACTAGTCTTATAATAATGCTGTCATGTGCACTCACTCAACCACATTTTGTAACGTGGCACAACTTGTCGAAGTTAAATCACAGGTGTTATTTATGTAAAATCCAGTTTTTTTTTAAGGAAAAAAATAAATTTTACTCTCCCAAAAGTTACATCACCCAATCATCAAACAAAGAATTTCCCCTACGGTGAAAATATCCTCAAAATACATCCTTCCAGACAATATGAGACATCCAGCAAGGAATGAAAGACATAGAGGGGAAAAGGGAAAATAAAAAAGAAAATGAGCCTCCACCCTGAAAGCATGACAATTCGAAACTCGGGCGCGAAATATCCATGAACCTAATCTTCCCGACTCTCCCTTCATTGAGATCCGCAAGTATGTGTTGCGCGAGACTTTACAACCCCAAGCTTTCAGACTGATTAAAGGGTCTGCATTAGCATTGGCTGCGCGGATCCACCATTAAGACCAAGTTGCCAGAGACGACAGCACTCCCTCCCCTTTGCATAGCAAGCGCTCTGCCATATCGGTCTTTCATCAAAATTTATGAGCGAGCCCTCCTCGCATTGTGCCGTTTCTATACAGTGTGTAAATAAGCATGCAAATGCGCATATGGCTACAGTTGGCCTAGGCTACCATAGAGGAAGCCGAAGTTGGTCGAGGCATTCCTTCCGCCTCTATGTTAATTTTATCCGCAGAGGATACTTCCGCCTTTCCGGATGCGGATATGTTTTGGACACGGGAATAATAATGGACGAGGAAAGAGAAATGTCGGGGAGAAAATAATCGAGTAACGAAAAGAGAGGTACCGGACAGTTTTTTTCAACATGCCGAGATATATTCTACGGTTATTAGGTAATTTTCAAGATGAAAGTAAAATGTATCGAGCTGTATTGAATATAGTTAATGGAAAACTATAAATTAGTCTTAAAATTTTGATAAAGCATTGGGTTTAAATTTATGCCTTAGGACAAACTCTTTACACACGTTATTTCACGTTAATCTGAAATAAAACAGAAGTATTTGTTTTTATATTGTGACAGGGCTTTATCGCGTCTTCTCACTAATCCTCTTGGGGAATCTTTGGGGCCAGAATAACATTATTTCAATCCAACCCTCTCAAGAAGAAACCGCGATATGCAGATTAGTGAACAGATATAAAAGGGAGCTTTAGCATTCACGTGTTAATTGGAAAAAAGCGAGATAGAGCCGGATGGTAGAATAAAAGTCGGGTAGTAAGAGAATGGAAGAATAATAGCAGAAGAATAGAATACAAGAAGAGATAGAAAGACGAGGTGCGGTGATAGAGATAGATCGCCGTGAGGTATTGGTAAGAGATTTATTACTGAACGGATTTTAACTTATTAAGGAATCTACAGTAGATAAAGATTCTGAGGTTAATTTCTTATATAGATAGTGAGTAGGATTTCATGCGCTATTTACTTAGAATTGATAATTACGTAGTATTACTCCTGATCATTTCCCTCTAGTAAAACTTGTGTTGCGTTGATCAATATATATTTAGACAATAATAAATTAGATTTATTATGGAGAATTTGAGTGAGAGAGAGAGAGAGAGAGATCATTTATTCCTACAAATCTAGGTCGCGTAGATGAAGAGGTGACAACCCCGGGCCACGGGATATTACAATATATTTGAATGCAGTATATAAGTAGTGTTGAAACTTCGATAAAAAGCGTTGAGTTTAAATGTATACCAGCGAGCAAACTCACTTTCTCACACACACACACGGAATTCAATTCCTATTATTAGTTCATTCTCTCCCTGTATATAGATATATATATATATATCTTGTTCAAATTTTCGATCGTTAATAAAATACTTTTTATTCATCCAATCAAGTTCAAATACATTTGATTAAACTTGTAATGGAGGACACTTGATGTTAATACAGTTTTTTCAAATATTAATTCATTATTTAAATAAAAAAAATTGAATAAATAGTAACAAAAAATAATTGTCCAGCAGTATATATAGAAAAAAAATCGTACGCTGTGTCCCTGTAGCGCAATGGATGGCGTGTTGGACGTTTCATCCAAAATGGGGGTTCGAATCCCACCTGGGATGGCGTAATTTCTGTGAGAATGAGATTTCTTTTTTTACTATAATATTTTATAATAATAATTAAATTTAATTAATGAATAAATAGTAAAAATGAACAAAAAGTAGTCCACCACCTTATATAGAAAGGAAAATGGAAAATTAGAAGGAAATTCGCTTTTATATATATATTTTGTCACATTATTGCGATTCTGTCATATGTATATACATATTTATGTATTATAAATGTAACTATTTAATAAAAAAAATACTGAAAAAAATTATTTTTTTTGTTGACCTTAGTAGGAATTGATTTTAAATTTGTTCTTTCATTACTTGTTTTAAGTTAATTTGAAATAAAACAGAAGTATTTGTTTACATGTATTTGAATATAATTAATAAAAAAACTACGCATTAGTTTGTGTGGGTTGAAACTTTGATAAAACATTGGGTTTACATTTATACGTTTCCCTCCTCACACAAGCTATTTTATTTTAATTTGAAATAAAACAGTAGTATATGTTTACACATGTTTAAATATACTTAATGAAAAGCTATAAGTTTGTGTTGAAACTTTGATAAAGCATTTGGATTTAAATGCAAAAATTGTCTCGGACTCTTGACCGTTGAAATGGGCAGGTTCACCTAAGGATGAGACATTTTCTTAAAATATATACTTTATTAGGATTTTATAACCTCTCTGTCTTAATCAGCGTTTCTCAAAATGTGGGGCGTGCCCCTTATGGAGGGGCGTGATATCTCTATGTGGGGGGTACGAGAAATATTGAAAAGTCGAAAATAAAATATTTAAAATAAGTATTAAGTTACTTAAAGAAAGCAAAATAAATACATTCTGATATAATACAAATTAAATACACGTTTACACTATAATATACTTACAAATGTATCAGTACTGTACAATATTTTTGATCATTAATTTACCAATATATTAAAAACAAGTTTAATAATTACCTGTGCCTTCCATGGGCTTGTCATGTACAAAATGTACTAATTATCTTGATAATTTGTATCGTTTATAATCAAAGTCGAATTGTGAATTTAGCGTCAAAGTACATTTTTATTGCATTCAATACATTGTTATTGTATAAGGAGAGGTGCGATGAAAATTATGATTGCAAATTAGGTATCAAACATTGAAAATTTGAGAAGCACTGATCTAAAGTCAACCTAAGCTATAGCGAGGGCGTTATCTTAAATCAATGCTTCTCAAAGTTTCAATATTCGCGACCCAATATTCAATCATAATTTTCATCGCGTCCCCCTCATATAATAATAATGTATTGAATTCAATAATACTACACGTTGATGCTAAAACTACGATACGACTTAAATCTCTAAAGTGCCACTGGCACTATAAAAGTCTCGCTCAGCCAAAGCATTAAATTCCCCTGACGTAAATATACGTTTTTCCGAAGTACGATCTTTTCTGCGCACTGTTATTCGTAAATTTTTTCGAAGGTTTTGGAATGCAATAAAAGGACCTTGGCAATGTTTGCGAAGGATTTACTTATTTCAGATTATTTCCTTCTTTTATATCCCCCCAATATATCTTATAAGCGCAACAACGTGGAAAAATTGCTATGGGCTTTAAGAAGCTAATAGCATAACTTTTATTTGGCAGTTAAGGAATTTATTATAAACCGTACAAATTATCAAGGTAAGTGTTACTTTTTGTATATAATTTTATGTATGGCAATCCCATGGGGTCACTGGTAATTATTAAACTTGTTCTTAACTTAGTATTTTAAATTAATTATAAAATACATTGTATAGCACCAGTGGCTCACACAAGGGGGGCGTCCTAGGGGTCCGGCCCCCCCCCCAAAGTCTTTGAATTTTTTCCGATTGATTATAATTCTAAGTATATAGTACGTAAAATTAAATTAAGGATTTGTTATTAATGATTAGTTTATTAATTAATGTTAATTATTTATCCAATAATGAGTTTTTTTTCTGTTTTTTGTCCCCCAAAATCGACAAAATCAAAAGGAACATGATACAAGAATGGTGGACTTTCGAACCTGGACACCTCCCCTGAAAAATTCCTGTGTGCGCTACTGTATAGCACTGATAACATTTATAAGTGCTATATATCAGTGTAAATGTGTATTTTATTTTTTTTACGTCAGAATGTTTTCTTTTATTACTTTCGATAAATTATTTTTTTAAATAATCTTCTGTTTTCGACTTTTCGATATGCTCACGCCCCCCTCGCAGAGTTGGCATGCCCCCCAAAAGGGGAACGCCCCATAGTTTGAGAAACGCTGGCTTAAATAATAATATAATTCAAGATTTTTATTCTGTATAAATATCTAGAATATAAATCTTGTACTTTTATATTCAACAGCTGATACTCAGCAATAATATGAGTCCTAGAAGGGACCATCTTTCTTCTTGAACTACGATTATTCCAATATTAAAAAACGACCATGACAACAATCATTCCTACCAATTTTCCACTTTCCATGGCTTTAATAGTAACTTTCATTAACATAAATCATGGTTCTTTTATAGAAAGAGGTCATATATATATATATATATATATATATATATATATATATATATATATATATATATTTAACAGTCATATATAATAATATAACGTCAACAAAACTATTTTCCACTAGAGGATTAGTCAGAGGCGTAAATAGAACCAGTTATTTAATCTTGATTTTAAGGAAAACGGAGCTGTTTATCTGCAAAGAGTTTAAAAAGAATCAAATTAGTTTACAGGTTGTTTACTCTCTATAAAAACAGGCATAAAATTCTTGAGTGTAAAAAGAGAGAAAAAAGTTATTTCACAATAATTTAATTCAAATGTAAGAATTGCGCACCCGTTTAATCAACACGTAAAAGGGCTCTGTCTTATTATTTATCTACAGCACACTTAGGTATGCGCACACATATATTTGTTAAGAAATGGAAAATAAAAAAAGAGACTTTTTAGAATTTTAGGTTTTTCTAAAAATCATAAATTATTTAAAATAAAACTATTAATATATATAGGAAACTGCGATTAGTTGTTTTTGGAAACGTAGTCTTAAAGCAATAGAATGGTTGGTCTAATAACTACCTTTGTTGGTTGATAATTTAAGCATTATTCCATGACATTCCATGGGAGTTATTTCTTTAGGAAATAGAAGTATTTGTGTGATTAAAAGAACTAAGTATTTTAAAAACTCATTTTTAAAACACTTCTTTTTTTAACTCCATTCCAATGAAATTCTGTGGCTTCAGACAAAAATTAAAGTTGTAGGAAAAATATAATGACTCACCTTTAAGGTATCCGACTACATTCGGAACCGTGAATTTAAAAAAGCGCATAAATGGATAATTTTCATGATATTTAGTGTCACTCAAATTAGAATACATGCATAAAATCGTTTTAAGGACAATTTGATAACAAAACATTATTTAAATATAATATTTTGGCAAAAAATTAACTTAGAATAATCTTTTTTTCCAAATGTTCTCCTTTTGAGAAAAATGGTTCTAATATAATAATATTTTGCCTGTATATAGCTCAGACTTCTCTACAGAGTCTCAACAAGAATTTTTGAAAAATTCACATTATGTTCAGAGTTACCACCAATTGAAATAATTATTCGTGTTTTTCTTAAAATTGCTCCCCTCTGTGGTCGTAAAATATGAATAAACCCACTTCTAAGTTATATATATTTCAAAAATTCTAGTTGACCTTTCTCTGAACAGAGGTCTGAGCTATATACAGGCAAAATATTATTCTAATAGAAGCATTTTTCACAAAAGGAGAACATTTGGAAAAAAGGTTATTCTACGTTAATTCTTTGCCAAAATATTGTATTTAAATAAATTTTTTTGTCATAATATCCTTAAAACAATTTTATTCATATATTCAAATCTAAATGACACTAAATATCATGAAAATTATCCATTTATGCGCTTTGAAAAATCACGGTTCCGAACGTAGTCGCATACCTTAATGCAAAAATAAACATATCACTAACTAATCACTAAAGGTTTAGGAATTAATTCAGCAGTAAGCAAAAAAGGCTTTATTATGATCTGAAGTAAAGTTTGTTTTCTTTTCCACTGCGCTTTCAGAGAGGCATTGGAAAACTTAACTAACATAAACTTTCAAATAACAATTTGCAACGAAGTAATTTTAGCATATACCGTCTATCCAATGTTAACGATATTTGTTTCAATAGCAACTTATATGTATTATAAATTTCAGTATTACATTTAGTTGAAAAATAAGAAAAAAAGGGCAGACATTTATAATATACTTAATCAGGATAAATTGTTTAAAATTTTATTAATTAACTAGTAAACAGAGAACCAGCTTTAAAAACTATAAATGAAAGAACCAGGTCCAAATAAATTCAGAATTATATTGATATACCCTTAGAACAGATTTAAAGTCAAAGTTAACTGATTTCTGTGGAGTCGTGATTTCAAGACTTGTTGTTATTAAAGACCGTCGAGCAGATGGTTAATGTTGCATCTCACAGTGTTCAAGTTGGGCGTGAAGTGTTAAGTGGTAGCTCAAATGTCATTCCTGAGAATTAACTGTCTTATCAGAATTACGAAATCCAGCATCAATAGTGCTCATGTTTCTTTCACATTAATAAATATAATGAATTAACCTAAATACTGTAGTGCAGGTTTGACCAACCCAAATCACCTCGCGGGCCACTTCTGAAGAAATTAACAATCCTGCGGGCCGCATATAAAAATATATATCTTTATAATAGACTTGGATCCATTACAAACATTTGTTGGAGAGAAAATTTAAAACAAACTGATATATTATTATTGTTTTCATTATTGTTCATGTATACAAACATAGATAATATAATAATAATAAGTTAATGATCAAATAATGCTTAATTTATTTAATTAGTGAGCTACCTCTTTCTCAACTCTTTCATTTAGTTTTTGCAAGTCAATCTATATGCATGTGTATTTGCGTATCGTAATTGATGTTGCAGATTTTCGTGCGTCAAGTTTGAGCACGATTTATG